GTTGAGGGTCCCAGGCCACTTTAACACTTGTCTCTCTAAATTTTCCTGATTTGGATCTAGGACTGGAATTTCTAGAGGTTCCAGGTAAATAGCAATGCAGAATGCCACTTCTTGTTCACTTCAGAATCAAAAAAAGAGTTAGACTTTTACTTTCAAGATAATTAACCTAGGGCTAAGAATAATTCCTGAGAGGTGATGACAGAGGTCTCACTTACGCACACCTGCCTCCCTCCACAACCTGCTGCAGGTAGGTTGATGTTAATGATGAGTGCTACAATCATGTCATGTCTTAACATCACATGCCAGATAAGCAGGTTGAAGAAGTGCTATTACCACCTCCATCTTAGAAATGAATAACCCGAATCACCAATCTTGGCCAAGAGGGGAGACTATAGTTCACGAAGGGCAAGGGGCAATGGGATGCTGAAGTTTCGTGGACTCTGGAGTAGATGAAGCAAGGGGGTCAGGCTTGGTCTAAACTGCTAAAAATCTGGATGTATTTTCCATGTCTCAGGAGAGAAAAAGAAGGACTCTCATCTAGCTGAGATGGGAAATGGGTTCATTAAAATACAATATGGAAGCTAATCCAAGCTTCTTCTATCTTTAGATTGAACCCTCTTACCACTCTAATTTTAAGGTCAAATTCGTCTGAAGTCATCATTAAAGGATCACCCTCTCAAGGCACAATTTCAAGACATCCCCAGATATCCCTCTCCCCACCCATCCTCCCAGCCTTTCCCCTGCACGTCAATTCCTGGGAATCCCATCTGGCCCAGCTTAGCCCAGCCCTATTCTGTCTCCAAAGAAAGCTGGGCCTGGCTGAAGTGATGTCATGCTTTTGAACACCCTCCCCCCCCCAGGGGCTTCCTTCACCCAGACAAATACTTTTGAACTTTTCCAGATGTGAAGAGAGACCTGCTGCTGGTTTTGAGGACAGGGGTGCCTGCTCCAGAAGAGCAAAGCAGCTCTGGATGCAGGCCAGCCGCCCACCCACGATGGGCAGGCTCCCAGCTGCAGCTGCCTGCTCCCACCCACCACTTGGCCAGGTGCTGAGGGACAAGTAGCAGGGACCATTTGCATATGAGAATGGGATCTCAACTTCATGTCCCCGAACCTAGGATGAGCGGAGAAGCCTCTGAGACTAAGGAACAGGACAAGAGGGAGGGCTGAAAGGCAAGGTTGAGAGATCGGATATACATAAGCTTGCACCAAGCAAGGGGACCCTTCCACCAGGGGCCTGGAGCCAGCCGTGACATAGATGTACAGCATAGCCACTATCAGTGAGTGCGTCTCTCAAGTTCAGTCTCTAGAGGCCCCTGTACTGTGCTCCCATGTAGAGATTGGGCGCTGGAGGAATGATATTTATAAGAATCGATGGACCACGGATCTCTTTTTATCCTATCTGTCCACACACATCCACAGCATCAAACCATCATACACTGACCTTTCTCTATCTGAGCTTCTGACCCCCAGCTCTACAGGGGAGTTGCAGCCGCCCACAGTCAGTGGGGGCTTGTCAGATTCTAAGAAACAACTGATGAGACCTCCACTCCTTCCCATTTTAGACAGAAAGAACAGTCCTTACCTTCAACCTTACAAAGAATTACAGTGCTACTTGAAGTTGAATAAAAATCTGTCTGCTGTTATTTACTTCTCAGTCCATCTTTATTAACTGTGCCTTGCTCGGGGCCCCATCTGACCCTCATTACCCTATTTGATCTCAACTTACAAAGCTGGAGCAAGGGGAGAAGAGGAGGCATCAGGAAGATAGTAAAATGAGAAGGCTGAGAAGCCAAACAGATGTCACAAAATTTGTGCAGCAAAAGTCACACGTTGAACTTATTCAGAGGTAATTCTTCTTGTTTTTACACACAATGCTAATAAACTTGGTTATCTGATATCCTAGCTAAAGCTGAAAATTAGGAAGAGACTATTAGAAGTTAATAATACTGAGAAGTAGGAGCTGAAAACTGAGAAACCGAAATAAATGAAAAACAGACATAAGCATCAAAACCCATGCTAGTCTAGAATCATTTGTGGTAGGAGTGGATGGATATATACACCTTAAAAAGCCTTAACGGTGTCACTGAGCTGCAACAAAGCCACATCGTTCTCATGATGCATCTGAGACCTGAAGGTCAAGGTCTTTTTTTTTCTTTTTTTTTTTTTTTGTTGGTGTTCCAAGGAAGCAGAGGCATATGCAGTACATTCGGAAAAGACTTCTACCTACCATTTGTAAAAAAACGATTCTTTGGCTCTTGAGAGTGGGTTTACAAATTCTCAGAGGCTTAGAAAACTCTCTTACCCAAATAACTGAATTCACATATTTTATGTGACAGAGTTTTCCTACACTTGGTCTTGCTTTTCACAGCCCTCTTTAATTCTAGGTTTTGATCGGGGCTGTTTCCTGATCTCCTAGCCAGCCAGATCCATTCTGCTCATCCTTTCAAAATCTAG